TATACATCAGGGCACTTCAACCATCGCTCAACCGGGACGGGGGGCGATATCGACTTCAGACAACCTTTGACCTTTTGCTGACGTCACACGTGGGAAAAATCACGTGTCCACAGCATTTGGGTCAGATAGCTGAGGAAGACTGAGTGATTCAGTCTAAAATTTCTGGTGAGTCAAATTTTGAGTTGGAGAACAGTTTAAGTTTTTCAAAAAGTATACCTGTCTTCTTGTCAACAGGTTCAGAACTATGTGACTGGGACAGGACCACATTCTGGGGAACTGATAATGAGCCTTTTTTTAAGCATTTGTGCCTAAAAACAATTCTTGATATCACTCAATCCACAATATGTCATACTTAAACAAGACCGACATAGAAAACTACTTTAGGCCATGTTGATTTAATTATATGGATGACATCCGCGCGCGCATGAATTTTTGGCCGTTTCCCAAAAAAAAAATAAAAATTTCAACCATACTGTAAATCGTACAAAACAGTTGCAAAATGAGCAAAAATATACCATAAGTTACAAAAAAATTAATAAATGTCGTAGAATGCCAAAATCAAACGAAAAAAGACGAAATTGTAAAGAAATGAATTTGAAGACTAGATTATTCGCCAAACCATATTCTGTGCCATTTGCTCAACCCTCATGACCACGTAGATTTCATAATGAAAAGAACTTTTTTTTTTGCAAAACTTTTTTTTTATTCGCACGCGCGCATCAGTTTTGGGGCTCCCGAAGGATGTCATCCATATAATCAAATCAACATGGCCTTACTCTGATACCAAGATACATGGCACTGCTGTAGGCTCATGTGCCCTGAACAATCATCATGCATACATGTATGGCCTGTAAAGTGGCAGACTTGTGAAAAATCTTCAGGCCACACCAATTTAATTTCTTGTTTAACGGACTTGCCACTTCATTTTTTTCTGATTTACAAATAAAAATAAAAATACAGAATCAACTGCAAAATGCTCATATTTTGCCCTGAACAGTTGAAAACAGTCCTTTTCTTACTACTTGTTACAGTCATTCCATATTTCAGTGCGATGGTATCATTAAAAGTTCAAAATTCATTGTTTAAATTTTGAACCAGCCTGGTGTGTTGACTTCTTGGCTCCTATCGTACCATTTTGGGCCATAATAGGATGCCTAGGCCTGTTGTTTTCTTTTTTAGCCCGCCCGCTCCATTATTTTTCTAGAAAAATCTGTTAACCAATTAATGAAATTGGTGTGGCCTCAACTGCATTCTATTTGTGTTGGAAAGAAAGTGAAGTGTGTCCATGTGAGTACTTACTGCATCACACAGGGCCTCCAGGTGCAGAGCCTGCAGCTTGTCGTCAACTTCCTGCTGCCGCGCACGCAGCCAGCCCTCGAAATTGGACGATCGGAAAAAACGTCTAGAGCAAAGATATAAAACATTATTCCCATCGTACAAATTTTCAACCAATATTTTTGTAGACTTGTTTTCGCCCACGTGCTGTATATTACAACAATTTCTCCATCCTTTCGTCATTTAGAAGAAAAAACTGCATTTCTACTAAGATCACAAAACCCACTAATTACGCAGAATGTGGGACTATTCATTATCCACTGCCTTCAAAGAAGAAGTCGAACCCCACAATAGCCAGCGTAGTAGTAGAAGTAGAAGTTTTTTCCCAGACAGTTGTTACCTGTCTCCTGTTGATACTTGATTGTGAAAGCAATTAGCCTTCGGGCATGATTTTGTGAATAAAAAAGTTTCTATAATCCTACATGTGCACAACATCACCACAGTTGTTCCCTTCACTCTCCTCTCTTTTTTACCCTACAATTGTTCAATCTGTGTCATGTACATCTCTGTAGGGTTGTTTACAGTTACTAGGTAAGGTACAGTTGTATGATAACAGCCAGTTAAAATTAGAAGAGTCAGCAGGCAGTGGTCTTTCAAGATTTTCTGATAGATGGAAGTCTTCACTTCAGGAGAAATCTTTATTAGTGAACTGGCCACGTTTACCTGTACAGCCCTTCCCAGTCCCCTCTTAGCCCTGACGTCAGCTGCGGTCCAGAGTGCTCCACAGTCTTCAGAAACTCCTCAGGCTCAAAAGGTTTTAACCGTGGAGCTTGCTAAAAAAACATGGAACCACTATTAACATCACAACAGGGGGGCGCCACAGACTTTCTGCAACCTATGATCCATTGCTCACAGAGTCACGTGTTATCTGCGTGACGTCACAGAAGCGGTGGATTGTTCATTCCTTGACAAAGACTGGAGTTGTACAGTTGAACATTTGGGTGAGTCCAATTTGTTGTGTTGGAAATTACAGTTTAAACTTGCTGCATAATAACATCACAACAGTATACTAGTAAAGGACTGTAAACTATTGAATGACAATGATGTTTATTTGCCTATGAGGGCTAAACGCAGAACGTTATTAAATGAGTCATATAGGCAATAAAATCCTACAGAAGTGCTACACTACATCTATTACATACAGATGGATGAACATATAAGGCTAACATTGATTATATAGTTAACATGTTTCTTCCCTCTTTTGAAAGGGAACAGTCTCTGAAGGGGAGGGCTAGGGAAATTTATTAGAATATTTTGGCCTAGGAGGAGAGCTGTGGAAAAAAGTCTCAAACTGACAATAAAAAGATGAAGGGAGGATCTTAAAACTTTTGTCATCTTAGGGGGTACACTGAACCATGGCATTTTTTACCTGGGCCATGGACACCCTGAGGACCAGCCATACAATTTTTCATAATTTCTTTTGGAAATGGTCGGAAACAATTTTCTTGCATTCCTGACGTCTCTCTCTAAGATGTTAGAAGTGCCAGAAAAATATTCCCGACCTTTTAAAACATAAGTATAATATTTTCTCCTTGCCCCCAAATGCATGTTTCCATACTGGTTGCATTTATCATGTAAGTCTGAAGTATACATGTAGAGAGACAGACCTTCCATGGTGACACGTTTCTCTGCAGAGGCATGAGACTGGCCACATACCGCTCCTGAAAACACACAATGTGTTCATGTCAGAAATCTCATCAGTTCAGAGGGTGGCCATGTCTTATGTGGCTGCTCAGAGTGGGTGAGTGAGTGAGTGAGTGAGTGAGTGAGTGGTGAGTTGGTGTGAGTGGGCGAGTGAGTTGGTGTGAGTGAGTGTGTGAGTGGATGAGTGAGTGAGTGAGTGAGTGAGTGAGTGAGTGAGTGAGTGAGTGAGTGAGTGAATGAGTGAGTGAGCGAGTGAACACAGCTATTCCACACAGCTCTTTTTTCATGTGCAACACCTAACACTGTTTCAACCTTAACTTTACCCCTGGATGTCTGGTTACTTGTATGTGCAGGATTGTTCCGTGACTCACCAGTGGGATCATGAAGCTCTGAGTTAGCTCCAGAAGATACCTCTTCAACATGGCAGTTTGCACTTCATTGGGTCTTCTACTGGCAATACCCTAGGGAACAGAATGGGAGTCCATCAATGTCTTACACAGTCAGTTCAATAAAACTTCTTCTCCCTGACCATTTCTCCTTACTGTAGTTCTAAATGTGGGGGTGTATGGCATAACCACAGAGTGTTCAGCACAGAACCCAAAGGTCCCAGGTTCGAATCCTGCCAAGTTCCCTTGGGAAAAGCACTTTACACAACTTATCACACTTCACTCAGGTGAAAATGAATACCTAGTGTTGGTTAGGGACCTCTCTTGGATATCAGGTAAAATGCAGTTCCCATGTTTGTGAAGACCCACACTGAGGCCCCACATGTAGGCTGTTTTAGCCCCAACCACAAATGTCAGAATTTCTGAAGTGTGAGATAATTGCACAAATATGTTGAAAAAAAGGAGTTTATTACAATCAAGCAAGGATTGGTTCAATTGAAATAATTTAATTTGTGGTGTTTTTTTTTTGTAAAAAAGGAGGTACATGTAAGGTGTGATGATGGAACTAATGGGCTGTATGGACTGAGAGAAATGAAACTTGGAGCAGCTTTAGTTATGAAAAGATAATTGACTGCACTAAATTCCATTTATTTCAGTCATGGGGAAGGAATCTAGAAAGGCCTTTAGACCATTGTAATGTTAAACTATTTGAACAGTATTACATATCATGGTAATCATTGTATCAAGGTAAAAATGACATTGTGTTATCAAAATGACCAGTGAGCTTCAAGCTCCTCGGTGTCAACAAATCATTCTACTGGTCCTGAATATTTTGCTAAATGTAATGGTAAAATAAATTGTACCTTTTGCAGTCTTTTTAGGATGTTTTTGTCCTTGTTCAGGAAGGGCTTGTAGGTAGTATATACACCTAAGCAAAAATTTATTTGTCAGTGTTTTTAAACAAACCATTGTAAATATTGTACATGACCATACCATCAAGTACCAACACATATAGCATTAGCGGCATGTACAGGTACATTAATATAACACTACTGTTCTTGTCATTACAACTTGTATGTACAGGTTTACATCACTGTTGTTGTTCTAACGTTCAATAAAATTCTCACATGAATGGATAATCATGATTACTGATGTCATGTAAAGAAGGGCTATTACATAGGGTATAGAATTTTCTTCTTACACAACCAGTAAGGTTCTCACCTGCTTACGTTTCGATGTCTATCAGACAGCTTCCTCAGAGCTTCTGACTGGAGTTTTGCAACTCGCCGCTATTTAACCCCAAAGTAGGTGGCTCAGCCACGTTTGGGATTGCCACAAAAGCGC